GGTGTAGCCTGTAGCAGTATGAAAATCATTAAAAACATATTGGTTTCTTTTAAACTATTTTTGGACCAGATCATATAATTTTCTATTTTTGCAAAGAAAGTTTTCTGGAAGGAATTGCTATAAAAAAAGCCTGCCATTAAACGTTCCCTGTATGTCGGCGTGGTTTTGCATTTTCTTCTTGCTTGTCATGTCAATATTACGAATTACGAAGTTATTACTTGTGTGTTAGGTAAACAACCTCCATACTTCGTACTTTGCTTTATAATCGCCTTGAAGAAGTTTGTTACAATAACCACTCAATTGTAACACGATTAACAGCACAAATAAAACTTATTTTGGCTGTCATCAATATTTATATCGTGAGTAATTCATGACGGTTACCAATCATTATCGTCGAAGGCCAAAGTGCAGCCTTATTAATTTAAAGTTTTGCATAGTGTGTTATTAATGTCGCAAGGCGAATGCATATACCTACGGTACCTTAGGTACCTTGATCGTATAGGTACATAAATGATTATTTTGTATGGCGTACAGGGAAGAAGGGGAAATGTCGGCCGATGATTAGGAATATTTCTGGAACTATAACTTTCAAATGTAAATTGCGAAAGATTCTTATTGAACCCTAACGGTTAATCGACATAAAACGTAGTTGCGATAAATTAGCAATCCGTATCGTCTGCATAGTTTACGAAGCTCGTTATCAATAAATAAATTTTCGGAATTCCATACACGGCGGTATCGCGAATGTAATCATTCTCTAAATAAAGAGCAAAAGCATGCGAAACGTAATTATTCACCCACCCGTTTTTGCCGGTACAATTTTATAAAATCAATTTGAAAATTATTTTCGGCTTGCAAAGCGGTTTAACGCTTCGTCGGTGATTTAATTTGGAATTTATTTTTAGATCTCTCCATTTCCAATATAAACTCTGACGGGTTCATCGAAATTCGCATTATGTTAGGGCGTTCTGCGTCACATTTTGCTATTATGTGTTGCGCTTCAAAATGTCAACTGTCGGGACGTTAATATTGGAAAATGTATAGTGCCTACGCGTTTTCGTATCATTGACCTATGTTTGTATTAAATTCTGTAATACCAGCTCCATTTATCATGCTTTATTAAGGTGCCGGGAGATTCCTGAGGAATATCGTGTACCTAATGCGCCCTTTCTTACTCGGTTTTCATTTCCATTTATATGTCATGTCATGTTGCATATTCCAAATTAATATTCGACACAGTGATCAATATGTAAGACTTGAGATTACCTATTCTTATTTTGTAAGTGAGTGGCAGCTTGTCTGATGGAGCAAGTGAGGCCCAGCTTCACTGTTAAAATTCCAGGCATTTGAACTTATTTTAAGTACCTAAAGCATTTAATTATTACAATTCATATAAATTTATTAGACGTTTGCCGATTAAATAACAAATAAACCCCCAAAGCGGATCTAAAAAAGTGTCAGAGCACCTCGGTGTTTGGATGTGACTCATTTTCAATAAGTTTGTTGTATGTGGTATACATAGTGATAGTGTCCAAAATAAGGATGTCTATCATGAGAATCTCTGAAACCAAAGAAGATACGTCAATGGTTAAGTTAGAGAAAAGTTACTTCCGAAAATGTACCACAAAATCCGAAATTTGCCTTTATTTTTTTCTGAAGTTATTTGAACAGATATAAAAAATGAAAAAACCACCGTCTATTGCCACTTTTGAGCTCTACGAGATATCGTTGAGAGATTTTCAATACAACGTTTCGTTTCGGAGAAATCATCAACTTTATTTTTTTATATGTCCCATAAAAAAGTACATACTGTTTTGAGTAGCATTTTTTTCTACGAATATATAAGTTGTAAATAATAAAAGTTTGAAACTGTTGGTTTTAACAAGATGGTGCACCCGCGCACAAGGCTCTAATCGTGTGAGAATTTCTATCGGATAATTTTTAGACAAAGCTACCATATTCTGAAATACAAAATAGTAATAAACATTCACATATCAGACATTCAAAGGAAATGAAATGCTAAAATAAATTCAATCATCAATAAATAATTTTATGTTGATGTCCGAACTGCAGCAACCAGGAAAAGCTACAAAATTAATGATGAAAACTTATTATTAATATTAATGTGTCACTTGTGACAGGAATCTGGTAAAGTGACAGGTGGCAGCAAAAGTTGTTCGGTAACGGTAGCGATATCTCTGGGTCGTCGAAAATCGAAAACGGACTGGCTCATTGGGCTGCTACAAATGATTGACAGGATGTTAGATACCAAAATCGGAGGTCTGGCACATAATTGGCTTTTGTGAAGATTAAGTACGATGATCCCCAATTTTTTTCAGTAATGCGATGGTAAGCGTCAATGTAATTAAAATCTGCGCTCTAACGGCATTTGATGAGAAATGCCCCGCGGTTTCATTGAATTCTTCACGAATTATAAAACCACCCCGTGAAAATTTATGAATGATTGATTTAAACCTTTTTTAACTGTTCGATACGAAGGCTATCGTGGCTTCACGCGCATTATTCCATGGCTTACCTAATTGCCACTACCTTTATCTTTGAATTCACACGCCTTCTGAGACGTACAACCTTTTCCACTAGCAAAACATTTTTTCTAGCCAATGAGATTCTTTCACAGGTATACATCGACTCCGCGCGGACTGGAAATTTCACAGACGCTGCGCTGCGTGCCAGGCTCGATAACGATGCATCTGACCTTTGCACAATTGTCACCGTAATATTCTAGTTAAGTAATTTTGTTATCGCTCACGACTTGTTGGTGTTGCTGGCCTTTACACGTATATAACTAGTCAGGACCATAATCCAGGACCACTCGACCACAAAAAAAACCGAAAAAAAATTTAAGAAATTCAGCACTTTATTCAATGGTAAAAGCGTTGAGTGAAGGATTAGTCACTCAACGGTAAAAGTAAATATCCCGCTGCCTTTAAATCTAGAGAAACGAGACAAAAATCTTACGCGCAGTTCTAACGGCTATGAATAATTTGATAATGCAGCCAGGCGTTCTTGAAATATCTAGCGTTGACTTTTAAACAAACCCATTGTACATTAATTATACAGTTAGTGTGTATAATCAATGCCCATGTATAATAGCATTTGTTTGATGGCTATGAATAATCCCTTACATAGGTGCATTTTGTTTTCAAATTTTCCGATGTTTATTATAACGGGCGATCAAAACTGAGTTGCTGTCGAGTCCCCTGTGGAAGTTCAAGTTAAGTACGATTTCCCATGTAAACAAAAATTCCGAAGGTGACTCGACAGCAACTCATTTTTGATCGCATTGTACCTACCTGCCTTGTTCGATATATTCTTCTAACATCCCATTTTTCCTGGTTTGGAGTGCTTACTGCCCCGTAGTGGTAATGTATGAAACCAAACATAATTTCTAGCATTTTCTCTTGGCCGCATTTATATAAAAGAAATGTACCTACTCCAAAATTCTGTCTTTATTTTCTTATGAGGATTGAGGATACAGTTTTGTACCATTCTTAGCCACCCGGTACATGCAGATCACTACTATATAGAGAGATTATTTGTGCGACTATGAATTTTGACTTACATGTTACCTAGGTTACTACTAGACTTGTTCAAATTCTCTAAGTTTTAGTTTTATTATGTTGACTATAATGATGTTATATGACTGAAATATACGTTAAGAAGAAGAAACAAGTTGTAAATCAGCATATGCATGATGAAACCGCATTTTTGATAATACAGATCAGTATTTTATTAGTAAAGTTTAAAATTATCGATCTCACCAGTAATCTAAATCGAAATAGACTAGAACCTGCACATCTAGCACACTATAGCAGAAAGCTTTTAGTGAAAATTTTAAGTCTCTAGCTATTGTATTTGCTGAGATCTCAGGCGGACAGCCAGACAGCTAGCCATAACTAATATAATATAATAGCGATTTTTTTACAAAATACGCTATTTTTCACAAAAACTGTACCTGTCTAATGTTAAAACAAAAAACGTCCTCTTTCCTACTTGACGATTTTAACCAGAAGCCTTTTTTTTACAACTCCTAAAATGCATTTCATTGCTATAGAATGGAAGCATTGCTCACTTTTAAATATAATATAGTGATATTCATTTAAAAGTAGACATAGGGATTTCCTTCTAAAAGACGCCTAATTTTATGCAACCGAAATAACATGCGCACGCATTTTGCTGTAATTCTAGATTTTAAATAAAAACGACAGTTAATAGTATCCTTTTAGTTAGGTTATGATGAAGACATATTATTATATTAAATTCGGTCATTTCCCTTAAGTTTCTTATAGGATTCTCTTCCACAAAAGTTAAAACATTCAGTTTCATTCTTCAGAGGAGATTTGGTAATTTAAAACTAGACATTTCCTATGTCTACTTTTAAATGAATATCACTGTATAAGGAGATAACGGGTGTAGCATCGCATTAGTTTAGAAATAATAACAATCCGAGTAACAATCTAATGATTCCTGAAAGACTCTCTTACGGTTACGGGTCTGCTCTCTAATGCCACTGACATTTGAGTAACGTTTGGATGATATGTGCCCCACACACTAGAAAGATGTCTTTGCTATTATTCTTATTGTCTAATAGATGTTGACAAATTTTCACTGTAAAAAAACTGCTGTCTCATCCACTTTTACTCCTATTATAAAGTTCTCCCAATCGCCGATTAATTGGAAAACGTCTTGTATTGTAAGCCACTGTGAAAGGTAAATAATAAAGAAGTACTAATTGAACGAAGTGAAACTTCTTTTTCAAATTAATACAACACACATGAAACGCGTTTCATTTTTGCCCATATCTCTAAATACCCGCATTTAATGTAACGGTGACGGTATGCGCCGACATTGTAATAATGCGGATTAAAATAGATAATGTGAATGCAAACAATAGCGTTTCTCATACTGAATCCTCATTGCAAAATAAATCGTGTGAATAGAAAATGAATTATTGTAATAACAATACGTATCTGTTACAGAGATGCCGAGCACAACGGAGGTACCGGTTTATTCATCTTCGCAACTGACGCCGATAGAAAATCGCGCATCCTCCATAACGATAACGAAACACGAAAATCCAGAATACGCCATAAATCGCTTGTCGCAAAAGTACGACTCCTATCACGGACTGCTTTATAGGAACGATCGTAATCGTAGAAGATTGTCCTCGACCGGAGAAGGAAGCGGTGATTCGAGTACGACAGCTTCCGGTAGCAGTTGCGGCGAAAGGGAGGACGGTAGCGAAGGAAGGGCTGAAAGTGATGAAATGGATCGAGATGATAGAGACGAGAGAGTACCGCTCGAAGGGAAAATTACCGACATTGAGAGGCAGCAAGTGGAAACGTTTTTTAAGGGCTTAAAAACGGAGGTAAATTTTACTGTAATTCAGATTTTGTATACTGACGGTTTTTTAATCGTTCTTCGAAAAGCGAAACTGACAAACAAATTTCGGTCATATACTTAGTCGTTGATCTATAGGAACTCCGGCTCTGACCCGCCTCTCTTTTTCACGATTTGCACAACCCTTTTTGCTCTGAAAACATTTCTTTCTGAAATTCTAGAACATTTGATGATTTTTTGTTGTAATAAGCAGATGGAAAATGAACGAATTAATCTGGTTCTGAATTCAATGTACCTCAGTGCCAACATCGTTACCATTGTACCTTGGCTCACTCTAGGAAATTCAATTCCGTAAAAAACTTCGCTTTCCCACGAAAAGTTTATTCTTTCCGCTGTAGAATAAGAATTTTCAATAAAAAGTATAGGTTTCTATTTGAAAAAATTAGTTGCCCGACACTTGACCCTTAAGGGACAGTTATGCGAAAATATGTAGAGCATCATTAAATGAGTCCCTTCATATGAAGAAGGTTTTATAAAAATCTTTTTTTGATATCCCCGCTAGTTTCCCCAATAATCGCCTCTCAAAATACATGAGACACCCTGTATATACATTAATTAATAACATTGAAATTTAAGATTACGGAATACAATTTAAAGGTGAAATGGCCACTCCTTTAATAGGGGTAAGTTCGTTGACTGCTAGGAAAATGTATGAATTCGGCGACCAGGTTACGTCATACTTTATAAAGACAGTCCAGGTCCCTATTTTTTATAAACTACGGATCAAATTTACTTCTATGTGATAATTCCCCTTTGCCAATCCTACGTAGCAGTAGCCAGATCCGTTGTTTAAAACACTGAGTAATCAGTTTTCATGCCCTGAATAATAGCGGATTTGAATCAACCGTTTTGATCAATTATATCCCACTAATCCTGCCTTGTCTCCCGTCAGACTGGCACTACCCACTTTTCTCACATAATGAATCGGCCGGTGCCGTATCCTGAAACCATTGACCCATATAACAATTGAGCGTCCGAATTTTGAAGAAACTTATAATGAAATCACCCCATAACAAAATCGCGCCACCCTAAAGAATCTCAACTCTAAACCCTTAATTAGAGTAAACCACCCTTAAAACAGTTCCAACTACCAAAATCTAATTAAAATCGGACCTACTCGGTTGCATTTCAGAAATAGCACAGAGAAATTGTCTCAATAAGCTTCCCATGCTAATGTCTTACGGCGGATGTTTTCATAGAACAAACTGGTAACGGGTCACGTTGCCTAACGTTCTTTTCAAACACAGAGTACCGTATGTCCCATTTTGGTTGAGACTGCAGTGTATCTGAACTGTTTTTAAAGATAGAGTCTTGCGGTTTTCGCGACCTTGTGCCAGTTTTTTGTGAAACTTTTAATATCACAAACAGTAATCTAGATACCTTTGTTTCTGAGATACAGAGTGAAAATTGAAAGTTTAACTTTTTGGAATGTTATATCTTACTACCTATGCCAGATAGGTAAAAACTACCTATTTTAGTTAGTAGGCAGTGGCTTAGTACAAAAATTTTGGAACACCGTTTCTGAGACTTAACCCAATGTTGGTATTTTTTAAATGCAACACCCTCTATATCTTAAGGGTGTATTCCACTTAAATTTTAATTCTATTTGACGTATGATGGGTTGCATAATATTTACTTGTAATGAAAAGGTAACGAATAAACAAAGATTGAAGAATTTACCTGCCCAACCATTGTATAAAGTAAACAAGTAATTACGCTAATTTACCCAGGTCATTAGTCATTGTGACGAATATGCATATATAATTAAACATCGATTAGAATACGCAAATCATTGTCACAACGGCTAATCCTCAATAATTTCAATTTTCCCAGTTTTTAATAAGACGTATATATTTTTTTAACCCAGTAATTACTCCATGAATTGTATTGACCTTATCTGGAAAATAACGCATGTAAGCGAATAGCGGGAACAACACAAAATAAATGAGAACTAACGCTTTTTACGCAAATTATATCTCTTTCCGAAGGATGCTACAGGGAAATAATCTCAAATTTGTATCACACTGAAATTTTAGGGGTGTTACAAAATTTCGTCTAATTCGGGAACAACATAAAATAAATGAGAACTAACGCCTTTTTACGCAAATTATATCTCTTTCCGAAGGATGCTACAGGGAAATAATCTCAAATTTGTATCACACTGAAATTTTAGGGGTGTTACAAATTTTCGTCTAATTCGGGAACAACATAAAATAAATGAGAACTAAGGGTTTTTACGCAAATTACAACTCTTTCCGAAGGTTGCTACAGGGAAATAATCTCAAATCTGTATCACACTGAAATTTTAGGGGAGTTACAAAATTTCGTCTAATTCGGGAACAACACAAAATAAATGAGAACTAACGCTTTTTACGCAAATTATATTTCTTTCCGAAAGATGCTACAGGGAAATAATCTCAAATTTTTATCGCACTAAAATTTTAGGGGTGTTACAAAAAACGTCAGAAAAGACGCAAACTTTTAATTCACTCAAAAATAAATTACATTTTTCGTGTGAATTCTATTACCCAGTATATTATGGAATTATAATACGTTCTAATGAATTCGGTTTCTTTTTGTAAATTAGTCCCGATAAACGCAACAATGCCGCTAATGAAGTCAGGCCTGCCGTATGATGTGTTGCCTACTGTACCCATTTATAAATGGTGAATGAATTCACTAAACGCTACACTTTTTTGTAAAAAATTTCGAATGAATATTTCGTCTAAAATTTTTTGTAATTTATTTGAAAGTTTGTTCGATGGCTGTATGGTTTGCTAATGTTTTTTCTGAGTATGCTACAGGGAGAATTTTAAAATAATTTGTGTTGATGCTATTTTACCAATAAAAGTTCACTTTTTATTGACAGTGCTCTAAAAAATTGTTTTTTCTTAAATATTAGAATTTTGTTCTGTAGCATACTTTTTAAATGTATAATTTACACGAAAAAAATTAGCCCCGTCTTTCATCTCATGTTTTACAGAATTGAGACGAAATATAAATTGCACTATTTTCGCATAAATTTTGTACTACTGGATTACACCCTTAACGTTAATTTTGCATTCTGTTACCTGACTACATTGATGTATCACATATTTTTTTCATTTTAGCCATGAACCAAAAATAAAAACCGTATTTTTTACTGTTTTTAAGTAGTCCATGGATTCATGGAAATTTTGTTTTGTTTATTGTATCCATGGTAACTAAGCAGCCGATACAAATCAATAAAATGGCTACCATGCCATTTCAAAAATTGGAAAATATGATATCGTATTATAATTATATAAAAAATATAAATGTAATCAGGAAGTAATGCAAAAAATGGATGTTAAGGTATACAGGATATTGTATTTAAAAATATCAACTTTGGGTTAAGTTTCAGAAACGGGGGTCTAAATTTCTGTTACTACGCCACTGGATTCTTCCTACCATATCTAAAATATAGGCAGTTTTAGCTTTTTCCTATCTTAAATGGGTAGTAAGATATGACAACACCCCAAAAAGTCTAACTTTTGGTTTTCAGCCTGTATCTCGTGATTCTGTCTATGGTAATAAAAAGTTTCACAAAAAAGTGATATAGGGTCCCGCAAGTCTCTATCTTTAAAAACAACTGAGATACACTGTAATCTCAACCACAATATGGGACACACGGTACTTAACATTGGAATTTTCAGGAATTGTTTAAGAATTATGTTAATTATTATTAATGAATTACTTAATTATGTTAACATAAAAAAATAAATGCACCAAATGAAGACAAATTAATTAATAAAGGCACCAAACCTTCCCCATATTTCCTGTATGGAGAAGGTTTGGCGTTTTTATTAATTAATTTGTGTAAAATTCAATATAAATGCACCAAGCTGGTTTTTTAATATACCTACATCAAGTTAGCAATAGATTCCAGCAATAGACCTTATTTCATATAAAATAATAAAATAAAGTTTGAAGTCACCTCAAATGGACTTGCACACATGAAGTTAAAAGTTTTTATAAAAAAAATTTTTATTAATAATATTAGGGGTTGAAAGGGGGTTAAAAAATAAGGGTAACTTTGTTGGTACAGGTTTTTTTCCCATTTTTTAAAAAGTACAATAAACTTAAAGTGCAAGCACTATAATTGTCAAAATTTCAAAATGTAACCCCGCGCCGTTTTGGAAAATTAATTTTTTCGGTTTTTTACGGTTATTTATTGCTAGGGGTGTAATTTGTGTGGTGCATCAAATATTTTTGTTTTCAGTTATGATTTTTATTATATGGTCTAATAGTAGTCTAATGCCCAAAAATAAAAATGTAACCCCGCGCCGTGTACTGTGCTGGTGAAAACGGTGAAATTATGTGTACACAATGTAATAGGAATGATCATCAAATATGCGCTAACATCACAATCGAAAATAGTCAAAATTATATTTGTAAAAAATGTAAAACTTAAGACACTCTTGTAAATATAATAGACATCACCATTGTAGTCCCGTTTCGGAACGCAACATAGAGATTTCGCATGTTAAATTTAAAGTTTTTATCTATTGTACAATAACAAAAAAAAAGCTTTAAAAATGCAGAAACTAATTTTTAATATTTGACCCTAAACAAATTTTTAGAATGGTACAAATTTACTTAAAAGTATTTAAAATAAAACTAGAATTTCTAACCAAAACGTATATGATGATAACTTGATATGGTACTGCAATTTTCTTTTGATTGTTTATGCTTACTGACACTTTCTATGATAGAGAAATTTTATATTTAACATGCTAAATCTTTATGTTGCGTTTTAAAACGGAACATACATTCAAGGTAACTAAAAGCTATAAGTACCAAAAAAAGTAAATTTAAATATACTCCAGTAAACTTTTTATATATTATGTTTTTAGCAATATAAATATATAAATTCGTTTGTTACAATTAATTTCGTTCTCCAACACTATTTGTAATTATTCTTTGCCAGGCTGCTAGTGGATTACATTATTACTGTTGAATAAAAACACTACCAATAATTATCGCAACAACACGAGTAACATTAGTTACACCCCTAGCAATAAATAACCGCAAAAAACCGAAAAAATCAATTATTTCCAA